TCTCTTGCTTAGAAAAAGCCTTTAAGGAAATTCTCTTATCTATTATAAAATAAAAACATATTAAAACAGAGTATAAAGTAAAAAGAATTATAAAAGATTAAAAAAGTAAACTTTTAGTAAAATAAAAAGAATAGCTTACTAGTAAAAACATATAGAAACTAATTAAAAACCTAGCAAACACTTACTAACTACTAGAGTAGTATTAGCGCTTTTTTTATTTAGATAAAACTATCTAGGCAAAAGCTTATTAGAGTAGAAAGAGATAAACTCTAGACTAGCATTACATAGCAGCAATGTAAGAAGACAAGAACTAAGAGAAGTAGGCTAAGAAAAAAAAAAGTTCTATAGCTTTTACTTCTAGCGCCTTTATCTTATTTAAGGATAATAAGTCTTCTTTTAAATATTTTACCTTTTAACTTTTAAGTAGCTTTAACTACTTTTTACTTTATAACTTATAAGCCTTTGCTAACTAAAGCTGCTCTAGTGTAGTTATAGCTTTATAAGCCTAGCATTTTACTACTGCACTTTACTTAGCCTAGGCGCCTTTAACTTTTTATAAGATCTAGGACTTTTTTTTAAGCCTCTTTTAAGCAGTGTTTAAAATAAAGGCATTATAATAACTTTTTTTAAAGGCACTTAACACACGTATCTAATAATAAAGTTAAGACATAAGAAGAGCTAAATAAGTAGTAAAAACTATAAAAACACATCTTTATCTACTAAAAAGAATTAAAACGCGTAGTAGTATAAAAACAACAAACACAACATAGCTAGTAAGCTATAGTTAGGAATTAAGAAAATAGACTTATAAAAAGCTTTTAAGAAAAAGAACTTACAAGTAATAAATAAATTCTAACACTTATAGCAGTATAGGCAGAGCAGCAAGGACGCTGCTAGAGAGGGAGGCCCGCGTGTTACGTCCCTACCGCGCTATGCAGTTTACATATAGACTACTGTAGGTCCCTCTAGAATGCCCTACTGCCCTAACAAACAAAGATAGAACCTGTTAATGCTAGAATAGAAAAAGATAATAGGCCTAGACAAATAGAGCTTAACGCACATAGACTAATTGTTAGGCAAGTGTCTTGTCTAATAGGGACGTGAAGGAAAACGTGCAACAGCCTGTAAGAAGTAGCATTAGAATGCTACACGCTCTTGCATGCTTAGGCAACCTACAACACGGTTTTGTAGACTGCTAGCTACTATATAGACTAAAAAAAGATTAACCTTAAGAAGGTGTAATTAACATTTAGTTTATTTCTATATAGACTAAGTAGCATTATAAGCTTTCTAAAGAGCTGCAATACTAGTTGTATATTTTGCACTATATATACCTCCCTTCCTGTTTAACTAAACTGTTTAACCTAGCGCCTTATACTGCTGTCCAGGGGCAAACTATGATTAGGCCTACCCTACTCTTCCTCTCTGTTCCTATCCTCCCTTGCGCTATTAGCTAGACTGTACACCTAGTGACGCCGCACTCTTGCCGTCATACCCCCTCAAGGCCCGAGTAGTCGCAATACCACGAGTAAGGATTGTAACATTATCTACCTCTTACTCTTACTCTTCTAAGCTCTACCTATGCATAGAAAGGGTTCTAGAGGGGGGAACGCTTTTAGAAAGAAAAAAACTACCTTATATTCTACTATTATTACTATTATTATAATATAATTTAAATAGCTAATATCTAGTTTACTACTTAATCTAGTAGTTTTTTAATATATAAAGTATTTAGTAGATTAATTTATATAACAGTACTAATAAATTAATAGTTAAGTATTTATACTATTTTATATTTTAGTAATAACTTACTTAATTTATAATATACTTCTACTTTTACTTTTAATCTTTTTTTAACTTAGTTTTCTAAGTTTATCTAATAGCATAAATATACTACTATAAAACTACCTTTTTACCTTTATCTTTTATTAAGTATTACTAAAGTTATTAGCTTTTAAATATTGTTTAATTCTATTTAAATTAGCTAGCTAAATATTCGCGTAATAGATTAAATTTATAAAAAGAAAATATAAGTGTTAAAATAAGCTATCAAATAAGCTATTAATTATCTAATTTAAATCAAAACTAATAGAGATAGTTAAAGTTAGAGTTTTACTACTAATGTATACCTTTTAGTATTCTAGGCTCCGCTTTTCTAAAACATTTATAAATTAGCGTAGTATGTTTACTACTACTACCTTCTCTTGTCTAAAGCTAGTCCTCTCTACGCTAACTAGATTTAACAGTAAGCTATACAAATTTAAAACCTAGCTACTAACTATTAAAACTAAGATAGTAGTAAATAGCAATGTAAGTAAAAATAACATAGCTTAATTCTACTTTATATAGAACAAACTAGAGCCTATAGTGTAGGCTACTGTACTACTGCTGCTATTAGATGCTAAAGAATAAAGTTAATAAGACTATAAAACAATTCTATTGTAGCTATAATAAGTATACACTAATTCTAATAAGATCTATAAGGCCTAGCAGGCTTTGTATAAGCTATAGTAAAACAAAAGTAAGCTTTTACTAGCCTATATTATCTAATTTAAGCAGATCTTGTATAAAGCTAAAGGCAAAGATTAGCCTACTACTGTTAAGATTATAATATTCTGCTAGAGTTTTAATGCCTTAATTTAGCGCGCAATAGATAGCAAGTTAACGCTACTAGACAACTACCTAGCATTTCTACATTTTGTGCAGCGCTTAGCCTTATAATTAAATACATATTTACATGCTCTGCATACTTAACCTAAACTTAACAAAATAGACCTTAGTAGCATTAACACTATTAGCATTAATATAATTAATGTTGCTGTAGCTACATCTAGGGCTAGGCTAGTCTCTCCTCTCTAGCGCGCACAATAGAGGAAGACAGGGAGATGCGTACGATGTAGCTTAGTAGCTTACTAGGTACAGAACTGCCTCTAGCTTCTAGCAGTTATGAATCGCATTTCAACTATACAGCTAGCAAAACAATTAGTAGTTAAACAACTAAAGCTAGCACTAGGCTACTATTAGCCTAATACTAAGGAAGATAATAATAATAAAAGCAACAACTTAGTAAACAAAATTACACTATAAGCAGCAGCTAGAGAGGGGTTCTAATTTTCTCTACTTTTTAAGCTTAATTTAAGCTCTCTTTTGTATGTAAAATTAAGCTTTAGAGAGGGGTAATGTAACAGCGCGTACCGCGTTACATGCTCTGCGACTCAGCTCCCTCGCTTGCGCAACAAGTAGCGTCTTGGCAAGGGGCACACATGTATATCTTAAACTTGCAGAGCAGCTCCTCTGCTTCTTAGTTTAATCTAGTTAGGTTACACCACCTCTTGCTTGTAGCTTAATTATGCTGATTGTAACACATTTAGTAGTAAAAAAAAATAACTAAAAAGTATATAACGTAGAGTAATTTTTTAAATAGTTAAAAGTTAATAAATTATTTTACAAGCGTTAGAAAGTAAAATCTACAATTAATTCTCTATACTACCTTTTCTATTATTGTTCTAGGAAAGGAAATGCCTTAGCTTAAAAAAATTACTGTATTTACACGTTACCTAACATTAAAATTTGTATAAAATTTAGCACAAGACAGCGCTAAACTAAAATAGAAAGGTACTAAGCTAGACTAGAGAACTACTAAGCTAGACTAGAGAAACACTAAGCTAGACTAGAGAAACACTAAGCTAGACTAGAGAAACACTAAGCTGGACTAGAGAAACACTGAGCCTAATAGAGTCTCTGCTAACATATGCCTGTAAGAACCTGTTCTCACTAGCTTGCAGCGACATTTCACTACCACGCTACATTATTTTAACCTGCTGCTGTTTGATAATTGCTTAGAATAGCATGCAGTACTATATAGTTTAGTGCAGCCTTGCAGCGACATCTAGGTATCAAGCTACAGGTGTTGCAGAGGGTGCCACAAGAGATCGCAGAGACCGCGCAGGCTCAAGTGCTAGTCACATGACTGCACTTGGTGCTGCCATCCGCTTGCAGTTACATTTCACTACCGCGCTACATTATTTTAACCTGCTTCTGCTTGATAATTGTTAGATTACTAACTTGCTTACAAAGTATGCTATATGCTTAGAATATTAAACAAGCCTTTTCTAATATAAAAAGTAGCTAACTTGTGAAATAAATCACGTTAGACTATAGAAGTTAGCCCTGTTACGTGCACTTCAGTTTAGGGAGAACTGTCCTGAGTGGCATCCAGCTTAGAAATCTCTTGTTACCCTAACTCTATTTTGATTCTATCTCTCCTTCACACCCGCAGTTATTTTTCCATCACCACTCGCCTAGTTTCTATCATTCCTCATCCTCTCGTTGTCTTTCAGGGGCTAGGACATTGTCCCTCCAATGACGTCAATCATGAACTTAAATGCCTCTGCAGCATGCACGTAATCAAATGTGGCGCAGATCCATTGGAATCTACCCCTCGCACAAGAACTCAAGAGGTGAAGATTGCCTCCGCAGATGCATGCGTGCTTTGCTCGGACCCACGTCTCAGCATACAATAGATCTCGTGAATTACTCAGACCATTGCATCTTATTCGTCAAACAGGTATTACCTATGCCTCTGATACCCTCAGCGCTCTCCCAACTTCGCCCTCTTGGGGCTAGCTAGCCATGCACTAAACCTCAATTCTGTGACCGCGCCTTATACCCGTCAGTCATCATGATGACGTTGCTTCTCTAGACACCCACTGCCACTACTTCCAGGCGACCAATTCGTAGACTCTTACTCTCTCTCTCTGCCTGATCTAAGTGTCCATATCCTGTTTTCATCCTTGATTTTAAATGACAGTGCATTGTGCTTCCCATTTTTCAGCATTGTGAGTTTCGGTAGGTGCAGTTACAGAACCATTAATATGGTTCTACACGACCCCATGCCCGTGCATCTATTTAAGACAGGCAGGAAACCTTCGAAACCAAGCACATGAAGAGTGAATAACATTGGGCCCTGTGCTGTGCTTACCTTGAGTTTTGCTTTCACCATGGCACCCACTGAACCACATGCTAAGCCCTTCGAACAACAAGGAGATGTTCCTAACTTCTCCGAAGAGTACCCAGTCTGGGGTGGGTATGTAGAAAAGGAGAAATACCCCGAGAAACAGAAGGCAGCGGCCGAGATCCTCGCGAAGTATGATTTTCTAGTGCCACCCGAATTCTAATTTATCCCATTGCCCAACACCAATCCGATTCTTGAAGGAGTAAGATGGGAATACTACCACTACGCCATGGGTCCAACGCTTAGAGATGTTCCGGATATCTCTTGGAAGTATGTCTTGGAGGAGAAAAGTTCAGATATGATCCACGTATTGCAATTCCCTTACAATGGAAAGCCTCCACGGGTGTGAATATCTTCTGCAAAAGTACTTCCAATAGCCAATTATCGTGTAGGATTGTCTGGTCAAGGCAAGCTGATATAAAGCAAATTATCATCACACTAACAACTTAAAAAGACCGAGATTACCTCGAATTGCGATAATTTCGTCCGCAATCACGGCGGCATTCCTGAGATTAACCCGGATCATTTCTTTCTTGAGATCACTGGACTCGTGAACGACCCAAAGAAGATTACACTCAAACATCTATAAGACACATTCATCTTTCCAAGGATATCCACGACTGTTACCCTTCAATGTTCTGGGATGCGACGGATTGAGCAGATAACTGAATATCCTGGGTAGGCCCAATGGAAATTTCTATTCATCTAGCAATTGGCTAACAGACTCTAGGTGATGGTGACGAGCTCATCAACACCCCATGGGGCGAAGGGGCGATTGGAACAGCTCATTGGACGGGCGCCAGTCTCAAGAAAGTTATCAAATACTGTGGCGGTTTGAAGGAGGGTGGAGAACATCTTGAGCTCTTTGGGGCGGATACTTACTCCAAGAAGGTTCAAGTGTACAACTACGGAGTGTCGGTTCAGCCTGTAAGATGAGGTTAAACGAAGTCATGCTGGACTGGGAGATGAATGGAAAACCTTTACCAAAAATCCATGGCGCGCCACTCCGCGCCGTCGTTTTTGGATACATTGGAGCAATGAGTACAAAGTGGTTATATCGTGTCAATGCTATCACCGATCCAAGCGAGGGTCCGGTTCAGAAGAAAAAGTACCGTAAGTCTTTACGATTTCTCCAGTTTTTAGCTGCCTATACTGGGTGGTGACAGTTTATTACACTCCACAGGTTGGCAAACACAATGCAACTTACAGTAACAGTTTCAGCATCCAGACTATGCCTATTTCCAGCGCCATAATGACACCCCTCAATCAAGGCCAGATCATCCATGATGGGCTGATTCACATGACTGTGTGGGCGTACAGCGGAGGTGGATGGCCCGAAAGAGTCGAGGTTAGTGGTGATGGCGGGAGCATTTGGTATGAGGTTCCGTACGACAAGATGAGCAGGAAATACTTCCATGTGTGTGTAACCGTCATGCACTGCCTCTTAATTCTCCGCCGTTAATTACTAGACAGGCGTGGAGAATCTGGGAATTTGACCTGCCGGTTGATGCGGAAGGCTGGCTGGAATTTTCCGTGAGGACCTGGGACAATGCTTTGAACACCCAGCCTACCTACGTCAGAAGTGCTTGGTAGGAGCGTGCCTTCTATCACCCTATTAGAATAAGCTAATAGTTCTCGAGGAACTGGGACCTGCACGTAACTTCCTCTTGCCGCCGCATTAAGGTCTACAGCATTAACCGGACCAAACCAATGACCGCTAAAAGGCTGAAGCTTCTTAAGAGTAAGGGTCTCTCCACGCTCCCAATCACGCATCCTCTCGAGATAGATCTTGAAAGCGACGAAGAATACCGCATGGAGATGAAGAAGAGGGAATGTCGCGACCCAGAGGAGTGAGCCCTCTCGACTTTACAGAGCTTGATGAGGAAGTATCGGAGTATTTGTTGTACATCACGCTCTTTACATGCACAGGCCAAAATTCGGCAGGCTCCAGAATATTCTTCTGCTTCTGCATTCTTCTAAGGTCAAACTTGGCACTATCCCTTCATGCAATCTACTTAAAACAGTTTCCTGTTTCTACCTCTGTCTACATGCTAGTCTAATTGTTCTCTCCTGCGAGTTCTACAAAAGTGATTCTAGAAGAATGTACTTAGAGGTACCCCACGATATAACCCCAGATCCTGCGGCTAAACTTGTTCTGCGACGCCGGATGGCGCAAACCACCTGAACCCGATGTCAATGCATTGCCTTTACCCCAGATTTGCACACTCGGTTACTGCCGAGAACATTTTTCCGGCCTTGGAAGCACATCGGATAAACACACACCTAACACTGCTCATCACCTTTCCGTTGGGCAGGGTGCGGCTCTACTGCGGTGTGATATGCGGCTGTGAGGAACCTGAAATCCCCTTTGCTGTCGGCTCTAATATTTTGGCAGTTTGCCCCACGACTGTGCTCTCAAGTTTGCGACATCTCCTTCACATTCACATCCATCTCTCGTTTACGAAGGATCTCTTTGATTATTCTCGGCCCTCTTTCGAATTCATTTGAATGGTGTTGTATGAGATAGCTTGCTCCACACTTTCCAGAACATCATGCCGATGTACCCTTGGTGGCGTTTCAGGTCTCCCGACTCCTCTTGCCTAACTAGCTCGGATTCGGGTACGAACTGCACTTCACATCACCTACAATGTGTTCAGCTCAAGCTGAGGCCTACATTGAAAACATCACAACAGCAAGCCAGATCAGCTCAAAAATTTACTTTAAAGTATGCGCAATGTACCTGATAGCCTGATAAAGACTGACATTTTGATAGCTTATGGCCTAGCACAACGCCTCCATGTATTAGCGAAGAAGATTCTCACTCGAATTTATGGACTCGGCAACACGATTTACGATGCCTAGAAAGTGGTTGGTGGGAGCGATCTCAAAGGTCTCCAAGAACAGGGAGACCTTCTCCGGTAATACTGTCATCAATGGCCTCGCTACCAAGACCACCACCGCGATGTCGACTTCCTTCTATGAAATTCACCACTCTTCTCCTCTATGCCACACTTGCACTTATCTTTCTTTCTTCCCCAACAACTGCGGCGCCCTGGATCACGCCTCGCGCCGCCAACGATTCACCACTCCTCTGGCGTCAAGCCATTCCAGATAAAACTGGCGAGACTGGCAACAAGCCAGCTTCAGTGAAGGGCCAGCCACCACCACGACCTGTGACTCCTTCCTTATCCCCCTCTCCATCCCCTGGTAACCCCCTGCCGCAACCAACTATCGTCACTACGGGTTCAACGGGGAGCACGAACGCCCCAGATCAATTAGGAAACAGTCCTCGACCGCTTCCCACCCCGCTACCCCTTATGAGTCCTACATTTCCCCTGAGTGCAGGTGCTATCGCAGGTATCGCTGGTGGAGCTGTAGTCCTGATCTTTGTTGTGATCTTCATTGGGGTATGGGCATTCCGTCGACGCCGGCGCCTCGACATCTCAGAGATCCCCATTCGACGCTCAAAACTCGGATCCCGACTCGGATTCCGCATATTCGGTGATGGGCTTGCTTCTCGTGGTTCCTCGCGACGGGGAAGCAACGACAGTCGCAACAACAGCCAGAACGACAGCACCGAGAAGCAAATTGAGGTTGGATGGCTAGACAAGGGAACTATTGGAAGACCCAAACCTGCCTGGCTAGAGGACGGATTTCTGAGTGTCCCAAAGCCGGGATTCTTGGCAGAGAAGAGAAATGATGAGGATTCGGCTCCGTGGGTGGAGAAATTCGCCATCAGCGCACCGAGGCCGGCAAGACCGGGGAGTGCAGAGCCTTTGGGAAGGCTGAGTGGGATGGGTTTAGGAATGGGATATTTGAAATAGGCCACAAAGACCCGGTGGCACTTTTGGCGTCGGCATTATGTTACGGGTCGTCTCTTTTCACTTTCGGTGATTCTTCTTCCTCTACGATATCCTGATATTGTCACTATTGCACAACCTAGTCTGTACATATTCTTCCAAAATACCTCTAATTATTGTATACATTCTAAACAGGACCACAACTAGCTTGTTTCAGACCTGCCTCAAAAGCCGTTAAGAATCACAGGTGATCACGTGCAGGGCATGTCATGGCAGAATCATCCCCAGGCAGCAGTCGCTTTAAAAAGGATCAAAACCACCCCCCTCTCCAACAATACCACGTTCTAATTCCTATCACGCCAAGCCGATGCGACTTTCTCGTAGGGTAAGATGAACATGACTCCATTTTAGTTGCCCTATCTCTAATAATATTCAGGTACGACCGTTCAGGTCAATCCAACGCATACTTCCAGCTCGACAGCAAACCCGCCGACTAGGTAATCGGCATCTGAGGGAGTGGTGAGAAGAAACTAATTCCTTTAGTGTCTAGCTTTTAAAGCTAATATTTATTTAGCTAAGTGTTTAATTAATTTCTATACATAGGTTCTCTTATATATATGCCTTAAGTTAAGACTTGCTAATAGCAGCGATTTTTACTACACCTGTATCCTATAGTTTACCTTAGTATACTATATAGTATTAGTTGTTAAGAATAAACTGCTTAGCATACTTCTTAGGTTTAATAATATAGATGTCTTTTCTAGTTACATAGTGTAGGTAGGTAGTAAAGTTAAAGTAATTAATAGCTTTTTTAGCATCTTTAACTTTCTAATTTTTTTTCTTTAAGGTAACCTTAAAAGTCTTAGATGTATAAAGTAATAGCTTTATATATTAAAGTCTTATTATAAAAACCTTTCTATATAGTAACATGCTAGTTCTTTACGCATGTATAGTTATTAAAATACTACAACAGTTTATGAATAATCTGTAAAAGCAAAGCTTGCTTAGAGCAATAGTTAGCACATTAAGGTAGGTGTAAGGCTAGATGTCCTAGAGCGGGCTAGTATAGCCTCCCCTGACCTGTTTGGAGGTCACATGACCTGTGCTTTGTATATAAGCATAAATCCTAACAAGCAAGGCTTAGCAGTAATTTGTCTCTTTTATAATACACTTCTATCTTTCTTTAAAAGCTTGCTTTTAGTGCTATCTATGCTACTTACTATTCTATCTTTATAGTAGGTTATTTAGGTTAAAGAATAGTTTATAATAATTTTTATAAATTATTTTATTTTAAGTTACTTAAAACTTATTTAATAAGTTCTTATATTAGCTTTAACTATAATATAACTTTATCTTTTATAGTTACTTTTATTTTTTAAGTATTTAGTTACACCTTTTTTTTTTAGCTAGCTTAGTAGTTTTTTAATATCCTCTATATAAGGCCTATAAGTGTTAATAGCATTTCTAGGTTCTAAGTCCCCACGCACTTCTATATGCCTCTAAGGAAATTTCTACTACATTTAAACCTATTGTCTTGCCTGCGCTGTTACATAGTTGTAGCATAATGCTTAGCAAATTAGTATTAGATAGGTAATAGACATATAATAATAATATTTAACTATAGCATGTAACTAATTATAGCCTATAACTAAGCATAGCTAATACTAATCTCTAACACACTAATATAGCTAAAAAAAAATAGAATAAATATAGCTAACTATAATTTAAATATGTTTTATATAACATATACTAAAGTCAACTACATATAAATTAATGTAAAAGTATACTTATATTAAGTATATATTTTTTAAAAAAAAATATAAAAAATATATAAACTAATAAAAAAAATATAAACTAATAAAAAAAATATATAAACTAATAAAAAAATTATAAACTTGTCTGTACGCAGCAGCAGCGTCGCGGCCTGGATACGAACGATCGCGCACGAGCAGGATCACGTATCTATGTCACATGATGCTCGTGCGCGAACCTCTGTGCGCGAACATCTAGATATCCCCTTTTTCCTCTGTACAGAGGAAAGACAAGAGCAATAGAACTAGAAACATGTTGCCCTTACTTTACCTACCTTGTACGCTGTGCACACTGTACACTACTCTTACTCTTGCTACTTAAGTGCTTATACTATAAGCAGCTAGCTGTTAGAGCCTATTTAACACTAATTAGTAGTTAATTTAATTAACTGTAAATTAGCAAAAGTAACAATAGAGTACCTACACCCTATAAGGTACTTTATTTTATTACTTATCCCTTAGGAAGAGTAACAGCAGAGTACTTACACCTTATAAGGTACTTTGTTTAGTTACCTATCCCTTAGGATAGCAGATTAATTCTTTGCATTGTACAGTAAGCTCTGCTACTATACAAAGTAAAGAGAAGATAGTGTAAGACGCACACTAAAGCTACTAAAGCTGCACAACCTAGCAGCTAGATAATAGCATATTAATCCTTTGCATTACACAGCAAGCTCTGCTACTGTATAAAGTAAAGAGGAGATAGTGTAAGGCGCACACTAAAGCTATTAAAGCTGCACAACCTAGCAGCTAGACAACAGCAGTACCTGCGTAATCTACTAGAAAAGTAATTAACTATACTATTATAATAAAATCCTATTAGCAACTAACAACTCTATGTAATAATAAGAAGAATAAGGAACAATTCTTATTATATAAACAACTTATAAAGGACATAGGGATATTAGAGGCAACACTATAGAATAAGACTAGCCTAGAGTACTAGAATAATAAGATTAACATATTAGAGGCTTTAACAAGCCTGCAGACTTAATTATACGCAGGTTACATAATTACTAATCTACACATAATAACTTAGAAGGGCGCTACCTTTCTAAGTGCGTACATAGAGGATTTTAAAGGATAGACACTATAAGACTTCTTAGCACTTAGCTGCGCGTTTAAAAGAGAGCTTATATAAGTGCTAGAGGACAAGGGAATTACACTACAGCTAGGCACTAAAGGTACCTAAGCCTAGAAGCTGTATAATATAGCATAAAAGAAGGCAATTGCACTAAAAAGGCTTTATACGCAACCCCTATTGCTATATAAGGCTCCGCACAGAAGCAGACTAAACACAATGCTGCTATTAACACTAAACATACTAGCATTACCTGCTCCTACACCTTAGCCAGCACTACACTGATCACTGTACAAACAATACATGCCACCCTACCTAACGCCTGCTCCACACCCTTAATTGTACACACCACTGCCTGCAGTAGTGTATGCACTACTAATACCACCTGCACAATCTATACCACATTACAGCCTGTATAAACTTCCACCCTAGAGGGAAACTGCTAAAGAAAAACTCTTAGCAAATAAGATTATATAATTCTAAAAGGCATAAAAAAAAAATAATAACTACATAAGTTAACTATATAACATCTTTATAGATAAAATAAGGATTTTTATTAATCTATGTTAATAGCTAGATATCTAGAAAACTTAGTACGCAGACATCTTTCTAGATATCCTAGAAGGTTAGGCGAATATGTACTATATGCACAACATAGGCCCTAGACATAACTAGAAGCATTTATATAACACCTTAAGTAGTTACTTTAACACTAATGTAAACTATAGCTAGTACTAGACAGACTAGATAATAATAACCTTTATATAATGCTAATAAAAAAACTCTAATAAAAGTTTATATAAAGTTTTTAAAATAATAATTAATAAGCTTATGCTTACATAAAAAGCACTAGAAATAAAATTTTAAAAAGATGTTCTACTACATACTACTATTATATAAGCCTGTTAAGGATAACTAGAACTAGAACATGCTATGTTTACTATTAAGCTCTTATGTAAAGCCTTATTTAGTAACTTATAAGCATTACTTTAAGTTACTATAGACTAAAAGGTAAACTAATACCTCTAGGAACTGCCTAATGCATACTACATAGACTACTAATATAACTCTGCATAATAAGAGTTTACATAACAAGAAGAAAGCTTCCCTCTATGTAAAAAAAAATAATGTAGAAGATTTTTATCTAGGTTTAGGCTACAATCTAGAGACAACTATACGCAGATAAAGAAGTGCTTTGTCTGCTATAAGAAAGAATGTTAGTTATTAAACTACTCTTATAATAACTGTACATAAGCAAAGAACTAGTACGTTGCTTTATATAAAGATTTTTATAATAAGACCTTATTATATAAAGCTATTACTTTATACATCTAAGACTTTAAAGGTTACCTTAAAGAAAAAAATAATTTGCATAATGTAAAGAAAATAGAATAGAAGAGTAAGAATGCTAAGAAAGCTATTAACTACTTTACCTCTGCTGCCTATTTACACTGTGCAACAGAAGAAGACATCTATAGCATTAAACTTAAGAAATATGCTAAGCAGTTTATCTTTAATAACTAATACTATATAGTATACTAAGGCAAACTATAAAACATAGGCGCAGTAAAAATCTCTACTATTAGCAAGTTCTAACTTAAGGCGTACATATAAAAGAACTTACATATAGAAATTAATTAGACACTTAGCTAAACAGATATTAGCTTTAAAGGCTAGACACTAAAGAGATTAATTAGTACTGTATAAATCTAGAACTTAATTAGTCTAGTTACATACTACATTCTAAAGACTCTAACACTATTTCTGCTATTACTAGCAGATGCTAACTAACTTAGGGCATACTTTAATAACATTTTAAATGTTATTATACATAAAGACAAAACTACTATACTTATTATATAAAAATAAGGACACTTTTTTTTTAATATTAGTAAAAAAAAATCTATGTCTTTCTTTACTAAATTAGAACTTTACTGCCTCTACTGCTAATTTAGACACCCCTGCATAAAGAGACTCTAAAAGATGCTAACTAGCGCTAGCTACAACATTAATGCTGCAGTGCTAGAAGAGATTAAGAAGTTTTACTACCTCTACTAATTATATAACTAGGCTTTATAAAGATTTAAGTTTATAATTAAAAATAACACCTACTTTAACTATAAGGTTGTTATTAATATTATATAAATTAATAATAGAGATGTTCTATATGTTATTAATGTAGACACATTATTTTAGGCTGCTACATTCCTAAAATCTATGTCTACAC